CGCAAGGGGCAACGGGGTATTATCGCTTGTTTTTTTTGGTTCTTTGGTCTCCGAAGTTTGAGATTCGTGGCTCGGTGTTCAAGGGGATAAGGATAGGGTAAAATGGATAGCGGGTGTATGCGGGCGGCAAATAACAAAAGAAAAACGGTTGCGGTAAAACAGAGCGGCAGAGGAAGATTTATCCAGGTTACCGGGTAAGAGAGTGGGGGAAAGGGATGTGTAGAAGATGTGAAACACTCCAAGTACCGTGTATACAATGGATATCCCGGGATGGGGCGGAGGAAAGAGAAGAAGAGAGCCGCAAGTTTAATTTGAGCCAAGGAATTGTATTGTGAAGATTCTTGATTTGATTCTTTTTGGTCTCTTTCGTTCGGCTGCAAATCTCCTTACAAGCCTAGGTTTACAAACATTCGTCTAAACTAGATTTGGCCCTTCTCTTCTGGTCTTTACTTTCCGTGTCAGAAGTACGCTCCCTTCAAAAGTTCCCCCCCACGCAAACTAATATGCACTCTCTGCACATTAACTTGCTGGTTCATCAAAACGATTTATAGAGAGAGTGAGAAGATAGAGAGAAAAACTCTGTTCGTGCCGTTCGATATCCCAATGAGCATTTTGTTGTTGTGGTTGTGGTGGTAAAGGGAATCCGCAATGAAGCAGCATAGCCAAAACCGATGCCCATTTGATACATTTTGTTGGTTGGTTAGATAATTTTTAAGGAAAGTCGAGGGGCGGTGAACATAAACCCGCCACAAAGGAAAAAAAGAAACAAAGGACCAGTCAAAGTATCCATAGATTGTGTCACAGTTCCATGCTCCAAATGCGAACCACAGGATCCCTAGATACCGTTCCCCTCCAATGTTCATACAAAGAAAATATGCCGCAGTCAAGGAAAGTCGAGAAAAGAAACGAAAAAGTCCAGTTCGCGTACGCATGCATCACAGCTGTGTTATGCGCCATTAAATAGTCATTCGCTGGTTTAAACTCCGAGGTCATGCGAGAGGGAAAGGTGGTTGTGTCGAGCTCATTCGAGCGAGGCCATAAAATCGTGGTATCAGGTGACGGTTGCAGTGAAGCAGCCGCATATTGTTGGTTGGGTGAGGGCGAAGACACACGGTTTCAAGATTTGGATGGAGAAGGCTCCCTGGTGTACTGGAAGAACTTCCTCAATCTGCTGCCGATATTCTTCTTCTTCTTTTCTCGAGAAGGCTCGCGGTGTTCTGATTGCGGGCGCTGCTCAATCGAAAGCTTGCTGCGTTCGCTATTCGAGGATGAACTGCCCATCAAACGAGATAGACTCGCAATGCTGGAACGCTTGCGACGTCGAGACTCCATCTCACTGGGATCAGACGACAGAGACGACGTGCGTTCACCGAATCGATGCGGGCTGGCGAGTGGGAAACCGCCCTGCATCGCACTGGTCATCGTTGACCGCGAGGATGTCAAAGAAGGCACCTCTGTAGAAATGCGGACTTCTGGACCGGGCTCGCCAAAGCGAGGAGATGGCATGACAGGGTAATCGGTCATTGAAGAGGTCGCGGTGCCTCTACGCTCAGTATCGAAAATTTGGCTGGACCGATAGTCTGGCGATGAAAAGGACGACGCGATCGTGTCGGGGGTCATCATACTCTGCTGGTGAAGAGGAAGTGTCAAGTTCATGACGGGCTGGCGTTGCTTGGATGTGTCTTCAGCTGTTTGAGCGGTAACGGTGGAATCGGAAGAGTGTGTGAGGGATGACGTTCGGGGCTCCTCGTAGTCTTCTACGACTTGAACAGGTTCAGATTCCTGCGGTGATGGGTCATTGTCCTCGGTGCGGTCATCAGCAGGTGATGTTGCCCGAGGAGACAATGGCTCCGAGGAGTCAACCTTGTGCGCTTTTGGCCTCCTGTTGAGACCAAGTCCGTCCTTGAAGGTCCAATTGATTCCGGGCCCTTCTTGCTTCGAATCGGCTTCCACTACCGAAATCTTGAGCTCTGAAGGGTCTGCAGTAGCGGGCCTCGTCTTGGTCGCTTTTGCAGGGATGGTCAATTCGTCTTCAGGCTCCTCCTCTTCAAAGACATCAGCCATGGGCGAAGTGTTCGCAATGACAGATGATCGGTTCTCAAAGGGCACTAACTCCGGTGCACTTTCTGTCCGTCGATGCGAAGGCGCAATGCCATTGGCACTGTGCATGGCTCGTCGATGGGCTGAAAATCCACGCTGGTTCATGCGGGGGCTAGAGCCGTTGGGAGTGTTGAAGGGTCCAAGCGCGGCATCCAGGTCGATAACCGGGCTCATAATGTCAGAGTCAACGCGTTGCAGTGGGCGAGGTTGCCACGATGCATAGCTGGTGTCTACCGTTATTTGAGCCGCAGGGGTTTCAGTCGGGGACACGATTGTAACAGTCGTATCGTCATCAAAGTTGGGCTCAAAGTCAATTTCCTCTGACTCATCCGACTCGTCACCATCAATGACAGCATTGGGTGGTGGCGTCGGGGAGCGTGCTTTCGATTTCTTGCCGTGCTTTCCCTTGCGAGTGATGATTGAATTTGCCCAAGACTTGACCTTACGGGGTTTGTGGCTGCCCTTGCGGGATGTGGATTTGGGTTTTCCAGAGTCTTTTGAAGACTCGTCGTTCTCAGACATGGGCGAGGGAAGGGTAGCATCGAAGGACTTGGACAGTGCAGGGTCAGATGCGCTGGTAGGAAGAGTCGGAAACGAGCTGTCGGCCTTTTGCGTATCCTTGTGGTGGAAGAGACTTCGTCGCTTAGCCTGTGCTTTGGGGGTGGGAGTGGGAGTGGGAGCAACAGGGGGCGTTAGTGAGACTGCTGAGACGGGTCGTTTGCGCTCAAGAACCTCGCCATTCAGTTTGCCGCTGATGAACTTGTCCAAGACCATGCCCGCCGTGCTGGGTCGATCTTCGTCCTGAACCGTGTTCAGCGTGGGGCGTGCTGCTCGAGGAGGTGCCGGAGCGTTGCCGCTAACAATTGACGAAAGGCTGTTTGCTGCAGAGTGTCCACGGAGAGTAGACAGAGATCCCTCGGAGGAAATGGTCGAGAGCGGACGAATGGTCTCGATTCTATCAGAGAACGTCACTCGCGCTCTGGACGGTGGCCGCGCCGGATCGTCGTCGGACCTGTGATCGCGCAGCGAGGGTTGAGAAATTGACCTGTTGAACTTGTGACCAGGTGCGAACGGGTTGCCTTCAGAGGGTGTGTTGGGTGCGCTGCCAGCTGGTGCTACAGGAGGGCTCATAATTGAGGTCAAGTCATGAGAGGAAACAGCGCCCGAACGACGGTGAGCGTGTCCACGTCGGCCTGGTGGAGGACCTGGGCGTAGTGTTGAGCTGGGTGCAGGAAGAACGTCCTCGCCCTTGGTAGGGCTGCTGCTTTTCAATGCGGTGCCTCCAGGCCGGATGTCACCGCCAATGAATTCGCTTCCTCCCCGTTTGTGCCCATGAGACGGCTTCGAGGGCGATATTGGCACACCCAGAGTGTTGGGTGACACTGGTGGTGAGGGTTCTTTGGCGGGCTTTGGTGTTCCTGCGGGATTGAAGGAAAAGTCTGGCAGGGCATTGATTGATTTTTGCCTGTGGTGTGGCATCGACCCTCTACGGCCGGACGGGTAGGCTTGCAGTGACATTGGTCGCGAGTTTGCTGGGGCGGGAGATGAGGAGACGGCTTCTGGGTCTCGCATGGGAAACGAGAACTCTGGGTTAGGAAGAAGCTCAATGGGCCCAGCATTTGATTGATGTCGACGCTGGTACAGGGGCGCGCCAATGCCAGACTGCGACTTTGTAGCGCGGTGTCGTGGCATCGCTGTTTGAGCCATGGCGAGGCGATTAGCTGGCCTTGGTGGCGCAGAGAGGTGTGGTAATGAGGCTGGACAAAACTAGAGCAGGTGTCGCCAACGGACGCGCAGGACGGTGGTTGGTCTGCAGGTGAGACTGGGAGCGCGGGATGCGGAGACAGGGCGGAGGATGCAGCAGGGCGCAGCGTGGTTGGGCAACGAGAGAGCCAGAGGTGCTACAGGCGCGGACACAATGGGCGTGAGACGAAACAAGCGCTCTGGCGGTACAAGAGCGGGCGCGATTACTACTGACGCGAGAGGATCAGCACAGGCAGCAAGTAGATTGCAGGGCGATGTGCAACGTGACGCGAGGACGATGGGTGGTCGAGGCGGGTGCGTACAAGATGGCGGTATTGGTGTGGGTTTGGTGTTGAGAGCGAGTCTGGTTGGTGGACCGAGTGAAGCCAGTACACCCAAGAAGAAGAATTAAGGAACGACGAGCAAGGGAAAAGGAGCGGACAGATGCCTAGAGTCGTCTCGGGGAGGGTGAGTAGCGACAATGGGCTCCAGAGGGGGGAGAGAGTTCGGGGGGTGCGGCGAGGATGGCGGGGGAGGAGAGGTGTTGACGGTGAATAGGCGGAGTGGGCGAGAGACGGGCACCTGGGCAACCCATCTCTTTTGTCGGTGGTTCCTGCCTAGTGCAGCGCAGGCAGGCAAGGGCAGGCAGGTCAGGGGCCGTGCGCAGGGTGACAGGGATCAGGGATCCCATGCCACCTGCTCGTCTCTCGTCTCCGTCTCCTCCTCATTTCGCGCTGGCCTGCGTGCCTGCCCGGCCTGCTTGTCCTGCCTGTCCTGCCTCTTCCTGCCTGCCTGCCTGCCAGCCAGCCAGCCCGCCCGCTGCCCACCACGCCCGCTTGCTTTTTCTCCCTTGCACACCACCCACTCACGGCTGCATGCACCATGTTGCCCTTGCACTTGCACTTGCACCCTAGTCGCTCACTACTCGATGCGGCGCGGGGTGGTGGTAGTGGTGGTGGTGGAGGTGGTAATACTGGGTGCTGCTGCTGCTGCTGCTGCTCCATCATCCCATCATCCCACGCCTCCACACCTCTACTTGGTATTATATAGCACTGTACATAGATAGGTATGTATCTCCAAGTAGATGTAGACGCATCGCCCTCGTTGTGCACACGTCTCCGTCTGTGCTTGTGCCTGTGCCTGAACATGGCTCCCCCATGGCTCCCCATGCTCGTTACAGGCCCCCCTCTGGCGCACATCATGGCCAGCAAGCCAGGCAAGCCGTCGAGGGAGCAGTTCGTCTCGGCGAGCCAATGCCAGGCTGCGGCTGGCTAGAGCGGCTTTGGGGCTGGCCTAGCTTCGTCATGGCGGTTTGGCTGCTGCGTCACTTGACTGGACAGCCGGCTGCCCTGCTATACCGCCAGGAACGGGCATTAATTGGCACTGGCACTGGCTCGTCTGCCGAACCACTCCCTCTTGTCGTTGGATTTGCATTCGTCCTTGTAGCAGTTGCATGCGGCTCCCTCAACGTCTGACCGCTGCTCCGGTGCGTGCGAAACATGGTCCTGTCGCCGCCTGGCCATCATCTCCTTCACCGTCTTGGCTGCATGTCGCAACCTACAAGCCTTGCCACCTCTCTCCTCATCGCCCCGCTGCTAGCAGTCGGACAGCGCGGCTACGTGCCAAATCACAGCCAAGCTATGCCCGTTTTACCGCTGTCACCTCCACGTCCAACGTCGTGACGCTCCGTCCTGCCCTGCCCTGCCCTGCCCCGTCCTGCCATCCGACACCCCCCAAGGCCCCTTCCCGGTTTCCAGAGCAATACCCTCCCTTCGCTGCCCGCCTCGAGACATGAAGATGGACACGGCCTGTTTCATCCTACCCGTTCGCAGTGGGGGGTTGCTCGCTGCCCGGGATGGACAGCCAAGCACGGATTCGATATGCAGCTCGGACAGACTACGCTCGTTTGATGCCCACACTAGCCAGGGGCACTGACGCCTCGCCATCTTGCTATCCCCCTTGCATCCACGACCTGAGCCTGTGCTCGCCACCCATAAATAGTCGTCGTAGACGAAATGCGGAGAAGTGGGATGACACGACGGCACCAAGAAGCAAGCATTGTTTTGTTTATCATCTCACCTCACCCACCGCCTGGTCTCTCCGCGAGGCTGGTTGCTGGTCCGTCATCCCACATAACATCCAGCCTCCCCGACTACCACGACACACACACACATACACTGCACCGCACTGCCCTTCTCCCCCAGGCCGAGGATGCATCCCGACTCACTCCTGTTGCGCACCCGTTTTGGTCCAATCTGGTGGGGTGCGTATGCAGAGATAAAGGAGCACACACACACAGTACATAGAGTACACCCTTGATGCGGCAATGCTGTGCACATTGATCCTCACTAAGTACATTACTGATATCGCTTGCGCTGCATCTTGGCAACGCCTCAAGCCGGACAAGCACCCGTGTTTTGAGCCGTCTCAATGGATGGCCACCGCAGCCTGGTGTTCGTGAAATGTCTACTTACTAGTTTCCGCTTCTACCATCTTATTTTTTTTCTTCTCCAATAGCTGCAAAATTTGCTCGGCCGTCTAGGAAGTCAGGGTCAGGGCAAGGCGGTCAAGGCTAGCATGTCCCTGCATGCGCAATTGCAGCACGCATTTCGTCGCGCACACACACACATACACACACACCTGCATGTACACACGCGCACACACAACACGCAACCCAATTCAACTCTTGGCTGCTTCTGTTCATATACATACTCTTTGCACGCCAATGCCTATGCGCTGCCATGCGCGCGCTCCAGGTTCGTGTGCTCGCAGGATGGGTTCGGTCTCGCACCAGGACCATGCTCCTATTTGGTTTATTGGCTCCGACGTCATGAACATGGACTACCATGTCTCCCGCTCTCTGCATCATCTGAATGATCTCCAGGGTCTATCTATTCTCGACATGCCTATACACCTGTCATGGGCTGAAAAACAGGTTCCGCAAAATTTGTCCATCTTCATTTCTTGCGATCCACCTGTCGCTGGTGTCATCATCTTCTTGCCCCAAAAAAAACATGTTTTGCCAAGCATACTCGGAGTGTGCGGCTTTTGGTGCTCGCCCGAGAAGGCGGGCGCTCAAATGAGCGTCGCAGCCAAACCTATACGCACTGTTCCGTCTGGCGCTGGTAATACGATCTGTGGAGCACAATGCACGCAACGGCGTCCCTTGTAGCTTCCATTGCCTCCACGGATCTGCGCCAGCACAATCTACGTAGCGTTAACGTGTTTTTTTTTCTGCTTTGACCAGCGGTGAAGAGAGCAGAAAAAATTGTGCGCGGCAGATACCATGCCTATTCCTCTAATTGCGAATGAGGCTGCCAAGCAGTATGTTGCTGCGGGACAGGCTATAGATACCTTCAGGACTTACCGTGTCCTCTTGCAAAGCTCAGACTTACGCATTCGCACGCGAGTACATACTTATTGGTACTGCACCGCCACGGTGCTTCTCCACATGTCGCAAATCTCTCCACGGCAACTGTTTGGTCGACATCTGCCGACCTCCCGTCTACCTGCATCTCAAATCTTCCGCTGATACCCGTTAATATTGCGTATCTGTACCTGAGCAGTCGATGGGCATATGTACGTATACACATGTTATGACTTTTAACGAGGCACATTCGCCAACCCTCGCTCAGGGGCGATACGTCACCCCTCCTGAATGACCGACCAAGGAACGAGACGTCGGCATGTAGACGGCCCTGTCGGCGAAAGCTGGTAATACTTGATGTATCATGTATTATCAGCAAGGTTCCAAGGTAACACGATTGCACAAATTACGAATCTCGTTTCATCTGTGTTTTGATGCTGGATGAACGACGAGATTGCCAATTTCCGGCTTCTATTTTCCCTATTGCCGAATAGGGGATGCGCCACGAACAATTCGATAACTCTGGCCAATAGCAGGCACGTAGCCACTGGCTGCGCCTTACTTGCTTGCTCTCAGACCACCTCACCATGGTTTACCCACATCACGGGCAAGCACTGGATCCGAGCACGGCGATTTTTGTTTTTGTTGCCTTGTTTTCTTCTTTACCATCATCATCGTCATTGTTGTTCGCGTCGTCGTCGTCGTCGTCGCCGTCGTCTTCTTCGTTGTCATGGCTCCAGGACTCGGCGCCGGCTTGACGTGGCAACAACGTGGGTGTTGTGAGCGAATTTTTGGGAGATTGCGCTGCTAGGTGGGCCTGGTAATTTGCTTTACCAATCCGCGTTATGAACACACCAATACGTACACTCATTCTCTCTGCAACCATTCACCACCTAGAAAGCGTACTGTCGAGACCCGCAGAGCCGCATACCCAAGTTACGGACAGCCAACCACGCTTCGTCCCAACAAAAACTACCTTTCCAAGTTCGGAGCCAGTGAGATATTCTGCCAGCGCACTATCAACCATGGTTCGTTGTCATGTGCCTGCTGCTCACCTACTCCAAGGTCTAGGCCATCTTTTCTCCGGACGAACCAGAGGTGTCTACCCCACACCCAGGCACCGCTCCTGAAACTATGGCTGTATGCGTCTTGTCTCGCCAGCTCCAGACTCGCCAAGAAAGAAAAAAAGAACAGCTTCGGTACCTGGACTTGTGGATCGACGATAGTGCCTGACTTCTTTTGCTGATGGCTTGTTCTTAGACCAAAGGCACGAGCAGCTGTTTCTACAAAATCTCGATCAAACATGACGAGCATCATGTCGGCACTTGTGTTGAGACGTCTGCTAATTTCCTCGCTCCAATAGGGCAAATATAGAAAGTACTGCGACGACTCGAGTTCTTGGTGTCGGTGACGCGGCTCGCGAAACCATCACCAGACGTGCTCTTACTCTGGAATTCCACTTTATCCGAGTTACGGGCTGGCAGTTAGCTAGGTGACGCCACAGAGCGCCATCACACACCGGAGCGTCCGTCGCATCCTGCTACTTCTCCTTTGAATTACTCGATTGGTTGAATTCAATTCCAGGCGTGGCTGAGCCGAGGCCTGATGCTCCCACCTTGGCGACGACCTGGAACGTGAAGCCGTAGACGCTCTAGCCATCACTCAGCTTTCATGACTAGCCCTCATGCGTCGTGCCGGGAGATACTTGCCAGATCTGTCGATGGACTCTGCTTACTTAACATCATATCTCGAGGACTACCATAATGTTTCCATTGCTTCAACCTTTGTTGATGAGCGACATGCAAACTGCAATCCGCATCTCACAAAGCGGCGCGGTCGCGGTTGGTCATCGGATCCTTACCACCAATCCTCCAATCAAGGCCAATGATCGACAGACCCAACGAGAAACCAAGCCTTTGATAGACAAAGGCCTCCAGCTGTGAGGACCATGGGCACTTTTGGGTGCGCAATAAATGCCTGGCTTGGAATAGTCATACAGACACTACAAATGCATGGTGGTGGCCGACTCACACCTATTGCGTTTCCCCGGTGAAAGTGCAGTCGTGCTAAACTTGCACAGGACAGAAATAAGCTCATTCGATGCAGAAATCGCTGACAACTCACATGAATCGTAAAGTCAGTAGCTAAAAGCCTACGTGCGTATGTCGACTTGTCACGCCATGACACTCGTCAAGTGTTTCCAATGGCGATCAAACCGTCTGGCACCCATCAAGCCATCTCATCATCATCGCTACTGAGGATCAGCGATCAGCCAGCAGCCCTGTGACCCAGCAAACTCTATTGCTATCGATAGGAATCAGCTCATAGCCGGACTCTACGTAAATTTCCACTATGGTTGCCGGTTCAGAGGCAGTGCGTGTTCGCGCATCGCAGTTCTCGGCTCCAAGCGGAGACGCCACCAACCGCTGTAGTAGAGATGGTAATTGCCGTGGCAAGCTGATGCACCCAACTAAGCGAAGAGAGTAGTGGCGCTTTGCGGATGTAGCGGCGTCTATAGCTTGGTGGTGGAAGGCGCTAATGCAACTGTGTAACAATCGACTGTTCTGTCTCAGCTGGCACTCGCGGGGTCATTGTAAGCCCAGTTGGTCAGCAACACGTGTGTATTGCATGTAGGTGGAGTGACTTATGCTGACTATCGAACTAATACCAAAAGAAACACGATGATTGTGCCATGGATGAGGGGTGAAGGGGGGGTATACGAACCGATCTTTGGTACGGATTAGTCAAAACAATGGTGGGTTTGATAACGGCGCTGCATACGAGGCTATGGTGCTCCGGTTGCACTCACACGTGAAAGAGAAACATGTGCATGAATCAGACAAAGATACGAGGCGGCTATGTAGTGGAGAACTATTCACGGTCTCTATTTCTGACTTTTGACATGGAAATGCTTGGAGATGATGTTATGTTTAGTATTTCTAGTATAACCCCTTGTCTAAAGTTTCAAGTCCTATACCTATAAGGTGACATCACTATTGAAACTACGTCTTGGTATTCTTAGTCTTCTATTTCTTGCTAAATGCATAATTTTCAGTGTCACATAGACGAGAAAGAGCTCGTTTATAGAAAGCATGATTTGTAGACCGGAGCTTCGTCGCCAACATGGCAACCAATGCAAGTATACAGGGAGCATGCTAGATAATTGCAAAACCTGTTGATTAATGATGTATTGAGTTTTTATGAAAAGAACAAAGGTCAAACTCACAATCGATGGGGGGTTGGGTATCGTCCCTTAGTATAGACTATTTGTTGGTCGTTGACATGGGACTACACAATAACATAGCCAGATCCTAAATTATGGGCTTAGACTTTACTCATCGGCAACGAACTATTTGACCATAATCATGTGAAAGATTTTGAATCAATAGCGTGCAATAATACATGGTCAGATTCTGAACACGAATAGCAACTTGTCGTTTGATAACAGTTGCAAAATCTTATGTCGAGAATTCCAAAATCCAACTGACACTAAGTTTTTTGATATAACAGCGGATCTTGGTTTAGTGTTCATTGAATGTACATTTCCACACAGACGTTGTCATGTTGGTTACTTAGGACAATGAAGACGATCTGACTATTCCATATACGGACTAGCGTGATCTTGCGGCGCAAGTTGGCATCATCGGGGGTCCTGTAGACACAAGCTCCCCCACATTCAGTTATCGAGCTTCGTGGCCACTTACAGACCGTTCTACTAGCAGACCGTATCCTCTGCACAAAATGGCGGACGAAGAAAAGGAAAAGGCCGAGAAGATGGCGGCGGCGAAGAAGCGCGTATGTACTCCTCTTGTGTGAACTTGGTGCTTTTGAGAGGTAGTGCTTCTTGGCTATATAGTCACTAAGCGTGATGTACCCAATGCAGTAGATACACTAATATTGCTACTATGTTAAATGTCAGATACTAATCATTGGCTACTAGTATGAACAATTGAAGAAGCAAAAAGCGAAGAAAGGCGGAAAGAAGAAGGAGGACAAGACTGAAACTCCCGCCGAAGCCGAAGCCGAAGCGTCGACCGAAGCCGCGAATACCGAGGAGAAGTCTGAAGAGACAACCGAGCAAGTTGCACCAGAACCTGTAGAGGCTACCAGTGTACCTCCGCCTCCAGCCGAGGACGAGGACGAGGACGAGGAGCCCTCAGAATTGCCCAAGCAGCCGCACGGTCGCAAGCCTTCGGTCGCTATAGAGTCGCGACAACGGTCAGAATCGTTCTATCGTTCAGGGGCTGCTGGGCCTTTGTCGCCCGGAGTCGGAGTCACAAGTGAGGTTTACCGAGAACAAGCACAGAAGATTGAAGAGCTAGAGAAGGAAAATAAAAGACTAGCAAGTGAAGTTGAGGAGAATGAGAGACGGTGGAAGAAAGGCGAAGAGGAGCTAGAGGAACTTCGAGAGAGCAGAGGGGATGCTGCGCTTGCAGTTGAGAAGGGCAAGGAGGCTGACGCACTGGTACGTGTTTATGGTGTTTACAATTTTTTTAGGGGCAATCCTGACCTGTCATGCAGAGAGCGGAAGTCGAGTCGCTCAAGAGACAGCTTTCTCAAGCACAATCACAAAGCAACAAATCTACACGCCGCACAGCAACCGCATCTCCAAGCCAGAGCGCATCAATTGACGACCTGAATGCACAAGTTGCTTCCAAGTCTGCAACTATTGAGTCGCTTGAACTTGAAATTTCAAATCTCAACAGGCAATTGTCAGAACAAACAAACAAGAACAACGAGCTCCAATCGAAGATTACAAGTCTTGAAAGCGCAGTGGAGAAGGCAGAGCAGGAGGCTAGTTCGACAAAGACGGAATTACAAGAGTTGAAGGCGAGCTTGGATAAGGCTGGTGATCAGGCAGAGAAGGATGGATCGGACCGCGACTCTGCGCAGACTCGTATTGCGCAGCTAGAGGCTGAGCTGGGCACTGCTAACCGCAAGGCATCAGACTCGGTCTCACGCGCTGAGTTGTTAGAGAAGAAGATTGAAACTCTGACACAACTACATCGTGACAACGACACACGAAACCAGGCACGCCTCCAAGAACACAAGAAGGTCGAGCGCGAAGCCGCCGAGTTAAGAACCCGCATAACGGGTCTCAGCAACGAAAACGCCCGTCTCCGCGAAGCCGAGCAGCGCCGTCGAAAAGCCGATCTGGGCTCCATCGAAGACTCGAGCGTGCAAGAACTCCTAGATGAAGAACGCGACCGCCTCCTCGCCAAAGTCCGCGAACTAGAAGAAGAAAACTTCGAGCTCCGGCGCGGCGTATGGCGCGATCGCCGCCGCGACATGCAACCCTCGATCGACGATCAAGCCGACCCTAACAACAACTTCGACGACATCGACCTCTCCGGCGCCCCTTCTTCCTCCCGCCACCACCAACCCCCACCCACCAACCGCACCCACTCCTCCTTCCAAGACGTCATCCAATCCGGCATCTCAGCCTTCACGGGCCAAACCCCCGCTCACCACCGCCGCAGCGACGCAGCCAACAAGCCCAAGCCGCGCCAAGAGAGTCTGGGTAGCCTGGATGAGTTTGAGATTGACGAGGATGCGTTTAGGCGCGCGCAAGAGGAGGAGGCGAAGAACAGACTTGAGCGTGTGAGGGAGGTTAAGAGGGGGCTGGTGCAGTATAAAGGGTGGAGAATGGATCTTGTCGATTTACGTGTAGGGATGGGGGGTGTTTTTGAAATATAAGTAGTCTATATGATATATATATATAAATGCTATGCCATGCTTTAGCTGTATACTATATAAGTTTTTGATTGTGCGGTATAGTGATTGTATCTCTCTATCTCCCTCTTTCTCATAGTTGTGCTACTTTTTGTCAATACAACCACGTGAAAAGTTGAAGTCACTTGCGTTTCGTAAAGTCCTAACACTGGACTTGATTTGCCTTGTCTTGTCTTGTCTGTCACACGTCTCAGGTATGTATTGACACCAAGGGTATATACCATCCCCCCCTTCCCCCTCTTCTCCTCCCAAGAAAGTGACATTTCTTCTCCGCGTCAGCACTAGAGTCTCAGACTTACTTCCCCTTCTTCCTCTCCTTCTTCCTCTTCTCCTTCTTTCCATTAGCGAATGCGGCTTTACCCTTCTATTCATAGCTACAACACACTACCGAAGAGCCGTCCGAACCCACCACCCTCGTCGTCGTCGTCGTCGTCGTCGCCGCTGCCGCCACCGCACTTGGAGAAACCGTCCATTGCACCATGAACAATTTTTCCTAGCCCCAAGTGACTTTTTTTTTTCCATCCCCCAAACACGTTCTCGCCAAAAAAAAATCGGCGTCTGATGGATAGATAGCTAGCCGGGACCAAAAAAAAAATAAAAAATAAAAAAATCAGTCGATCGATCATTTAGCCAAGGCTAGCTTTGTATGTACTGTGTATGGGGACTAGTGGTTAGTTATATTTTTCTTTTTCTGTGTTGATGTTAGTTAGTACGTATAACCATGATCCATTTAAAAAAGATGGAAGAGAGAGAGAGAGGTTCTTGAAACATTGGGTCTTTGCTTTTGCTTTTGCTTTCCTTTTTTTTCTTCCCTACATATCTTGGGTTGTGTCTCTCTTACTCGGGGGTTTGTAACTTGAACACCAACCCCACGGTAGTAGTAGTAGTAGTAGTAGTAGTAGTAGTAGTAGTAGTAGTTATCGCGACAAATGTTTGACTTGTACTATATAAGTGGGCTAGCCGGTGACAAACATAAAAGTTTAATTTTTTTCTTTAGTGGATATGTGTTGAGTAACTCTAATTAATGGGGCTTTTTTTTTCATCATAATAATTGAATGTTATGGTTCTATTAAGAATTAGCTTACTTATATGAAGTATATTTTAAATATATATATACTCCGAATACCATAAATACTACTAGAAAAGCCCTCTAGTTTTACGTTACTTGATAGTTATACTATTGATTGATTAGAAAAATCCTTTTATTCTATTCGCTTACATCGCACGTAATCTAACCTTATCATGTACATTCACTCTTATCTTACTATATTGCTATCTACGTCGTCGCTTGTTGCAGCAGGATGCTCTCTATGTCCTTTCTTTAGGTAGGTTAAAACTTGCAGTGCTTCCTGGCTAAAAAGAAAAAAAAAGGTTTCCCCCTTGGCTATTCTGATAGTTTATTCATATACACAACTAACCATTCGGGTAGTGGAAGATGTACTGCAGACGACGACTCGGGATGTAGAAAGGGCGAAGTGAAATATCAATGGGTTGCTGCACAAAATTACTGTTGCCGCGAGCCGGGATTCGAAAAGGTTCAGTGTTGGAGCGTTTGCTAAACTAATCTTAGTAGCTAAGCATTCTTCTTCCTAATATATATTTATTACTTAGCCTTATGTTTCTCTACATTGCGTATGTATTTATTATATAGCTGCTGAGATTTATCTCTAAGGTGAGATTTATTACAAGACTAGATGTTGATAGTATGGCTTAAGTAGTGGCAATATTAAACCGCTAGTATTGAGAACTCGAAGAGTTTGTTTCGCGGATAAGAAGTAGGGTGTTGTGAACGATAGAACTAAGTATAGCGACGGCGGCGGTCAAGGTCGTGTTACAATAGTTAGGCTAAGAATCCAACATCCGTTCTTACGTGCCGGGACACACCGTGTAACGGGACATATTTTCTTTCGGGTGCCCAGATTATCACGTCTATCTCTGCGGAGCGGGAAACCTTATAGTGCCGGGACCAGCTAATTAACTCGCATAAATTCTAGACTCCTTCCTTAGATGAGTAAGCTGACTAGCTAGTCCTGGCACATAGGGTGTCCCGTTACGCAGAGATAGACGTTACTCCGCATGCTGGAGGGCAAGAGACACCGTCACTTCCCAACTTCTCCTCAATTGCCGTTTGCTGTTAGCATGCTAGTGACCGGATACGCTACTGTAGTACGTCCTATTTATACTAGTAGTTATCCGCATACTATAACGTGTTCCACCAGGATGTGGCCCACACCAGTAAGCGGTCCACCCCGCCCAACTTGACCCGACACTCTTCACATCAACAACTATGGCGCCACCAAAACACTTTCTGTTGTCTTAAAAAGAAGGAAGATTTCTTCTAGTATCTCGTGCACTTTGAGATAAACGCGTTACTAGTTAGCGCTAAGCTGCCTTACTATATGATACCCTACCATCCTACTGCATGACTAAAAGGGGAAGAGACTAAGGTGTGTAAATTCGGCCTAACGTTATGATAAACATGAAGGATGGCCATGTATTTCTGGGAAAATTAAGCATACGAACAAAGGATATGAATTTTTCACGTCTAAACTGCCTAGATAACTAAAGAAATACTTCAAAAAAACGTTGCCCGCACTGGGTCGTTGCACTACATTGATCCACTCGCCATTTCTTTACAAGAAAACGGGTCTGGACGATGAAATAATCTAGGAGATCGCGTGCGCCAAAAAAAGTGTAGTAGTAAAAAAGACATTTAGTTTTGATATAAGTAACCCCCCCGCTTGAGAAAAGGTCCGGAGAATGCGATGTGATAAATAGCTTACAAGACAAGCGCACCACCGAAAAGCGAAGAAGCAAGTACAACCGCACCACACACAATGGGCGCAAGACTGAAGCTCATAGGACGCACGTTAGCAGCCGCACCAGCAGATTTGGTAGGAGAGGCGGTAGAGGTAGGCGTCTTTCCACCAGAGGTAACAGCACCGGCACCGGCATCACCAATATCCGTGGTGGAAGAACCGGCATCCTGAGATCCGTCACCCTTGAGACCAGGACCAGCACCAGCGCCCTTGTCAAAGTAATCCTTGGCACCATCAGGCAGGCTGGGCAACTCGTTGCTCTTGAGCGTGACATCCCAGGTCTTGGACTGTGGGGGGCACTGCGATGCCTGGCCGTTGGAGAGGTAGCCGCCGTCGCCGGTGGGGTTGGGGGTACCCGCGAAGGCGGACTTGAGGGCAGTGAAGTCGGGGAGTTCATTGACAGAGTTGCCATCGATCTCGACGAGGCCGTATTTGGACTCTTCTTGCGAGTACTCGTAGACGAGACCACCGCTGTAGCACTTGGTCATCTTGGGGTCGTAGAGAGCCTTTACTTCTTCGAATTTGCGCGTGTTGGTGTTGCAGCCGTACTCGGACAGGCTTTTGTGGTGTTAGAAATATTGGTTTTGTTTGTTTTGTTGAACAGACGCGGGACTTACAAAATAGGGATGCTGTAGTTGGAAAACTTCTCCACTTTGATGTTCCAGCCAGATGTGTTGTAGGAAGAGGGATCGCACCAGGAGTAGTCGTTGAAGCCGAAGAAGTCGCTGCGGATAGCGTCGTCGCCGCAGTTCATGTAGTCGGCCATCTCGTAGCGGTTAGACTCGACATCGGCGGCGGAGTAGCCGACGGGGACCTTGCGGAGACCACGGGCGTTCATGTACGACTTGAGGTCGCGAGTGACGGCCTTGACGTAAGGAGCGCAGTTGGTGGTCTTGTCATCGTTGATGACTTCGTTGCCAGAGAAGAACAACAGAGTGTTGTCGTACTTGGAGAACATCTCGACGGTAGCGAACAAGCTCTGAAGGTAGACCTTGTTGTATGACTTCTGGGGGTTTGCACGGTTGATCGAGTACTTGGGGGTGTTGACGTCGAGAGCCAGGTAGATGCCGGCATCGGCGAGGAGACCCATGCAGGTGTCGTGGTTAGCACTGTTGTCAACAGTGTAGACACGGACAGTGTTGATGCCGAGCTCCTTGAACTTGGAGATGTCACGCTTGCAGCCATCCTCATCGGCAATGGGGTCCTTTGCGTCGGATGCGCCGCCGGGCTGGTAGTCAACACCACGGATGTAGAAGCGCTCGTTACCGGCCCAGAAAGCTGGCTTCAGTCAGCAACCGCAGCGATAGGTCAATTCACAAAGAACAATATACCATTTCCCTTGACCGTCACTGGGGTGATCTTGGAATTGGAAGCACGCTTCTGCTCTGCCGGCTTGGCAGCAGCAGTAGCCGCTAGAGCGACTGCAAAGATGTAGGTCTTCATGATGCTAGATGTGTAGCGGATGATGCGGATTACGAATCGTCGTTCAGTTCAGGAGAGAAAGCAAGCGAGTGCGGAGGACGAGGAAAGCGTAGTCGGGGAGACAGCGAGTGAAGCAACTCCCGTATAAAACGAGTGTACGAAGTTGCAATGGAAATTAGGTGAAAGTGAAAAGGGAAGAAAAAAAGAGGTGGCTGTAGCTAGAGAGAAAGCGACCGCCGCAATGAAGGGTTATCAATGAACCAGGACGGGGGGTGGGACAAGTCCGCAAACAAGATTAATACCGCTGGCGCCGGCCCCAGACAATGACAGACACAGAAAGGCGACGCGTCCAATTTTAGCGGGACATACGTCTGGCCCCGCTGATTGGCCACACGGGCCCGTTACAGAAAACGCCAACCCCTGACTAAGGCGCCAAGATTCACTCAAGCGCAGACTAGGGCCCCCGGTAAGCTCTTCCAAGCCGTGGCAACGATGCTTGGATCGACTGCCCGCCATCCTGCCTACTCTGATCCAAAAAGAAAAGAGTGGGAACGAGGACACGCGTTGGCACATCAATCACTTCTCTGCGTATCGTCAATTGTCGCCTCCCCACCCTTCTTTGTTGTTGCAACGGCCGATCGGAATACACCATGCAGGCATTACCCCCCCTTGCATCGTCATCACCCTACCTGGCGCCGTGTCCGCCCTGGGCCCGAGATTAGCTTTCCCGAGAAAAACAAGACGGGAAGGCTTGTTAGCAGCATTCTTCTGCACGAATGCAGCGGGATATGATGACATCTTTCCGCGATAACTATGAAAATTACCTGCATGGAATCATGCCACTGGGGCGTGGAGCACCTATTTTTTTTGCCTGCTGTAGGAAGGTGCCAAAACACCACCGATGCTTGGTTTCAGCTTCCATACATCCTGGTCCACTTTTGTTGCTGATCGAATGATGCTTAGTGGCTCTCGTGAAGCGGTGCCTTTCGTCATCGTGTTTTATTTGAAGCCGCGTTGAGCGTCCCTGACTATCCGTATTTTAAACTATGGGGTTGGTGGTTACGAGTTGTGTGATGCGAGATGCGGCACTTCTGCACATGGTAAGGTAAGGTACACGTGCACACGGCCCTTTTCGCATCTGGATAGGGTTTTCCAAATACCGCCATAACCTACTGTGTACGTACATGGTTGCACATCTCTACGTTGGGTTTTTGCGCTAGGAAAGACTGCTGCCGAATATTTCGCCTTTTGGTCATGCATCACCTTTAGTACGCATAGAAGATCACGCCCGTACCAACCACCAGCCCGATCCAATCTTTCTCATGCAACACTACCATCGACAATCCCACACCGTATCCCACAATCCTACCAAAAGCACACAGCCACACGACACTACCCCCCAAAAAACCACAGCTTCCACACACCATCTTGCCACCGCCAAACCCCAAGCGCCCCAAAAATAGCCATTCGTTCCCCAACTACTTCTAGAACTGCCACTAAAATAGGATAAGCGCCACCTCGTGTATTTCTACCACACTATTGCCATGCAACTATCGCCATCGCACCCATCAGTCAGCCTCGTAATCGTGTGCTTAGAATATTTCGCCTTTTCGCTTTGCCTCTAATCCTCTAGCCTTTTGTTGCGAGAGAGAGAGAGAGAGAGAGAGAGAGAGAATATGCACTCAAATTTGCCTAATGCAATTGTCATCGATAAAATGAATGCGTCATATATCATGCTGGATCTTTTTCTCTATTCCCAATCACGAGTAATTCAACGTGCTGCTCCTAGATTACCCCCACAAGTCGCACCTCTCTTGTTTGCTGTGTAGCAAACAATGGAATGTAGCAGCGTCATCATCTCAAAAATTAATTACTTTATTATCATAATATAAGAAAGAAAGAAGGGTAAAAAAAAGGAACCATATAAGCCCCCCGCATTTATCCCATAACCCATTCCCATTCCCATTTCCATTCATCCCTCATTCCCTCATGCCCGCCCATTCCCATAAGCCCGTTATGTACATACATCATCGCTACCATCGTCAACATACTAACCCCCCGCTAGTACACCGCCTACCACCGCCTAATTCTTCTTCAACCCAAAGTAGAGTCCCAGCACAAGCGCGATAACGCATAGAATAGCAATGACGGTAAGAAGAATGTACCATTTGAGTTTTCGCGCGCGCCTCGCCGACTTGATGCCCTCTTCTAGCTGCTTGTTTGCGTTTTCGGTATCGTCTTTGACTTGGACGGTTTGCTGCTCGGCTTGCTGAATCTGCGGTTCTTGGTACATGACTTGCTCGTTGAGTTGGGTGAAGAGGAGGGCAAGCTCGCTCATCGTCTTTTCGATGCGCTGGATGTCGTTGTGGCGGGCGCGGACGGCGCCGAGGACGCTTGCTGCTTGGCCGCTGCGGTTTGATTTGAGCTGTTGAGATGTTAGATAGGGCATTTCTTGCTATACTGCTCTTGGTTTACACTTACAGCTTGGGTAAAGATACCCTCGTCGCCCAAGTCGGCATTGGCTACCTCTTCTACTTCGGCATCTGTAGCATCTGGGTTGATGATACGGTATTGCCTGCCAATAGCCTCGCGGTACCTCTTGGAATAATCAGACTCCTCTTTCTGAAAGTCCTCAAGCTGGCTCTTAAAGGTCCTCTTGAGTGCCTCGACCTGAGACTTCTTTGTCCTGTCATTGGGGTCGCGCAAGGCATCCTTCTCCAAAAACTTGATCTCGTCCTTGATTTGTGTGTTCCTGATCTGCGTGTTGGTTACAACGGCCTCGAGTTCAGCACTGGACCGGTTGTCGGGCGACGAGAGCATGCGCTGGTGAATGTTGGCAATGGCCTGGATGTCCGAAGTAAGCTGACCGATGCGCTGTTTTGCGCCTTCGATGCGCGTGAAGAAGTCCTCTCGGCTTAGAGGCTGGGCTCCAGGCGCCTCCAGGGTATTGCCTTGGCCAGGCAAGCCGTTGAGGGGTACGTCTGTATGAGGGACGTTTTGCCCATTCGTTTGCGCTGGGCTCAAGGCGCCAGCCTGCGAGTATTGCGACGGCTGCGAGTAATTGGACTCGCCATGGCGCTGCAGAGGCGCTGGAGGATTTAGCTGCTGCTGCGGCTCGTCATACTGTGCTATCGCATTAGTCTTGTCTTGTCGTGTTATGGAATGCGACTACTTACACCTCCGCCGTATGGGTTGGACGAGCTATAGCCGCCAGCGCCCCCACCGTACGGATTCGAATGCGCACCGTATTCTTCGGCCTGACCATAGGGATTCCCACCGTATTGCTGGTAATTCTGCGACATGTCGGAGATTGCTGGGGTAGCTTGGTAGCGAGAAGAAGCGATGGTTTCGGGATGCCGCGGTGGAGCTGAAAGAACAACCGCGGAAGCTACGGAAGAGAAGTGCCGTTGGGGTGCAGGCTTGGCTGCCTTGCGATTCTTGTATAAGCCGAGGCTGACAGGTTGAGAATCAAAATGCAATCGACTCGAGGGCTTAACAGCGATTATCTCGAGCCCGTCGCAAGCTTGTTTTGTTGTGGGGAGACCAGGAAGTTAAATGACTGCGAGACCCTGTTGAACCCGCCCAGCCTTCTGAGCCGTGCATAGTCACGTCACCAATGGGACGGGAACGGGCAAACTTCCGAGGCATGCTCTTTTGCCAACACTCCCCCAGTGACATCTGTACGTTGTGACCGCAATGCGAATGCACAAACACATACATGCCTTTGGAAAATCCAGCATGTTATACTACGCCTCTGAGACGACGCGCATATCGAGGCTACACAGTCTTACGATGATTCTTCTTGGGCCTGTCTTCAGAGTCTGACATGTGACGTAATGCTGATCGTCCAATCCATCTCTGTTAGGTAATATACAAGGCGATTTAGCATCTCGAACCTTATTCCCGAAAGCTCTTGTCCGTGTGCAACATCCTCAGTTGTTTAGCTTCGAAGCGACATCTCAAGAACCCTAGGGTTATGCGCCTGCTTTTTTAGTACCTGGCCTTGCGCAAAAGGGAAAAGCACGAACCCTCCAAAAAGTAAAGGAAAACCACCATCATTACTTTTCTATCAAAAAGAACAAAAAGTGCATAAGCCCACATTGTCCCGTATCGTACGGTAGTCAAAAAGAAAAACATGACAAAACTACCATAACAAGTCCCTTTTACTTCCTCGTACTGTCTCCATTACCACTCCCACCACCGTTCGCACCCCCAACCATACATGTCCTCGCATCCTCGAGCTCAGCTACAACTCTCTCTTCCAACTCACTGGGCGCATCTTCTCCCTTGCCCTTGGTGCGATTCAGCATATCCAACTCCTTCTCATCAACCGCAACAAGACGTTCCCTAAGCGCGCTTTTGCGTGATAACCAACTCTCCACATCTTCTTTGACAACATCCTTTTCCCATTCTAGAAGCGCCACTTCGTTGGCCTGAATACCTAACTTAGGCCCTTGTTTGCGCACGTTTTCTAGGATCGCGGCGATAAGGGCCAGACTGTGTATCTCAGATGCCACAGAAAGCGTGATCCTGTTGCTGTTGGCTGCGAGACGAGACGATGAATTGGATGAGTTGATGCTCGATGCTGAGCGGGCCAACTGTTCAGGAAACTGGTTGAGGAATGAGGAAATCTCGCCAGCAATGGGGGGTCCGACGGATAAGAGGAGGTTGAGGCAGAGGGGAAGGATCCCCTTGGTCCAGACAGAGTACATGCGAACCGGGCTGTCAAAGGGACCAGTGCCGTTTACGCGACGGTAGTAGTTCATAATGTTTGCCGTGTTGAGTTGGCTAAGGATACCTTCAACGGCCATGGTCTCGGCTAGAGCTTGAATGCTGGATAGTGAGAGCAAGAAGAGGATGCTTAGCTCGCCGTAGATAGGATCCTCCACGCCGTTGTGTGATATGGCGAGGCGATCGGCCCAGGAGAAAAGACTGGTGGCGTAGCGCACTGTGTTGTTGTTTGCAAAGAGAAGCGCTGCTTGTTGTTGCCACTTGGACATTTCTGGTATCGCAATGATGCGCTGTAGCAGCGCGGTGAGGAGAGCAAAGTCTGATGGTAAGACGGACAAGGGTTCCGCGTGCAGCTGTGTGGCCAAGCTACGGAACCCCTTGGCTACTGTATCGGTCAGAATTTCGAGGAGCTGTGTGGAGATGGGCTCAGTGTAGTTGTTGTGACTGCTCGGCATAGTGCCACGGAAGCTTGAGCGGAACGAGGCATCGCTGGACTGGTCGGTATCCTCAATCAGATGGAAGTGAAGAGCGAGGTAGAGGATGCGTAGCAAGGACCGGTAGTAGTGGACCGAGTCGCTGGAGAAGACACTATCGAAGTCCGGAGTTGAGGCGCGAATGGCGCTCCATATTGGGCTAAGCAATTGACGCGCTTCTGCAGTTCGGACCTTGGCCTCTACAAGCTTCTTCAGTAAAGCAAATGCCAGATCCGCTCGCACGACCATGAGCTGACCAAACAATGCTTCCGGAAGGTTCGACTGTGTATTGGCGCTCATGCACTTTTGAACAACACCAATGAGGACCTTGACGATTCGCTCGTCCTTTGCTACCATCTGGCTAAGCTCCAGAGCCAACAGTTTCCAACCGTGAAGTAACAAAACTTGGGATTCTACCAGTCCTAGATTGTAGTTTGCCTTTTCGACTTCAGATGCGAAACCCGTGCCCTCCCTAGGGCCAGCCCACTTGCTGTTGAAACCCAGGAGTTGCTGAGCGAGATCAATGTCATAGAAGAATGCCCGTCCAAACGTCTCAGGGTACAAAGTGGTCCGCTTGAGGTTCGCTAGAGAGACACCAGGGTACTGTTGCTCCAGGTTCTGCTTCAAGTATCCGTGCAGTGACGTACTGTAAGATGGCAGATCCAAAGCAGTATCTTCCAAGTACGTCAAGCTGGGAACAATGTCTTTCAGTACGGTAATGTCACCGACCTGCCGCGAGCTGTGAAGGTACATGGCAATGACCTCGCAGGCGAGAGATGCGAACTTGTTTTGAAACGATCGTTCCAGTGTCTCTTCATTGCTGCTGATTCGCGGTTGTTTAGACTGCTTTGCCATCCATTTGAGGAATGTGAGCAATTTCTGGATCAAATCCTTGCGCTGCCGCAAGTCGCCCATTGCCCATGACCAGTTGTTTTGCGCCGAAGAGACGAACTCGAGCATGGCTGTAAATAGCGGCCATGAAACGCCAGCAGGTTCTTTTTCTGGGAGAGCCATACTAGACAACGCATCAAAAGCTCGTGTGAGCAGGGCTTTGTTCCTTGAATCTTGGGCCACGTTTCTTTTGCTTCGAATCGTTTCTCGTGGCGTGTTTCCGGTAAGCAGATACAGAGAGAACCACTGCTGCTTGCACGTTACTACAGCTGAAAGTAAGTTCCACACGTTCCGTTGGATGTCCACGATCTTTAGTGGCTCATCTAGTCGAGAAAGCACACTGAGGAAGTTCTTCGCAGTTCGTGGTCCCAGATGGCCTAGTAGCGAAGGCGGTTCTCGCTGCTCAGTCTTCTTGTCGGCTGTTTCTGACTCTTCTTGGATGGTAACACGGACTGCGCCACGGACCAGAGCTTCCAACAACAGCACAACCTGGGACTTCCACTTGTCACTTGTCGCGTACAGTCGGGCTAGTAACGGTGTTGCTTTGAAGAGTTGCTGCTCCAGATGAGTCCAGGGCTTGTTAAGCAGCATGGCAATTCGGACCAGTAGGTCGGCAAACGCCAAGGTGCTTTGGGTCTGTTGAGTCCACAGTGCACCTGAAGTCGTGAGCAAGGTGTTGTCATTGGGGCTGACCCCGATGATCAAAGATGTCATGAGCGGGTTTGTAGGCAGGTTGCTATCTGAGCCAGCAAGATAGAGTTGAGTGAGATATTCAGCGATGGGTGCAATCGATTTTGTGAGCTTGGTAGACAGCTTTGGCGCATCATCTACGCTGTATGCAAGACTCAATATTGTGGTAAATACTTCGCAAATGGCAGTGTTGATCTCGGGGCGATGGTCCGGCTGCGAGTACTTCCAGTTGAGCGAGTTCTCATATATGCTGGCAAGAGTACGACCAAAAGTGAACAGAATGGTACTCATAATCTTGTCCGAAGTACCGCTGTCGGCGGGGGCCGATGCATTGAACCGACTGAGTGCCTTTGTGGGAACTTTACGGGACACGGATCGATCGACAGAATCTTTGACAAGACCCTTGTAGAGTCGAATACATCCAAGAAGGAAGTCGTATCGTCCAAGAACCATCTCAGTGCTGATTAGGATGGTTGCCAAGCTTCCGTTGCCATCACCCTCCAATAACCTACTCCTAGCGAGCCACGGCCATACTCTTTGAGGGGAAACAATGACCAAAGCTTCCAAGAAATGAGTGCAGTTGACCAATAGCTCCAAAGATACCTCGTTGCTGGGTTCCTGACAGAGGTATAAAAGCTCTTCTTCGAAAATCGCGAGCACAATGTTAACAGTGTCCACACTGCCTTCAGCTCCAATGCCAATTGCTTCTAGGAGCTCAGGTGAGCAGATGCCCTCAGACGAGTGCAAGGACGAGTGTATCAGGTCAGCGAAAAGGCCAATGACTTCTACAACACTTTCACGAGACGCGCGTTGCTGGGTTGCAGTCTCGACTTTGCTGCTTCCAACGGGATATGTAGAGAGAAGTTCAACGAGGTATGATAAAGTAGAATGCTGGTGATGCCAGACTGCCACATATGGCTGTGAGTTGTCGTCAACTATGATGCCCTCTGTGCCGGCCGGAATAGTGGAGAAGCCGTGTGTGTATCTTGAAGTACCCGAGGCCATCAGACGACGTTGGGCACCAAAGGTGGATGAGCCTGCAGAAGAAAACAAGGGGAGATCAGCGGTAAGTTCTACCCAGTTGGCATTCTCCTCTTCACGCGTTAGCTGATAGTCACGGAATCCATCTGGAAGGCGTTGCATCAAGCGGTTGTGGTTGGCAAGCTTGTCAACAAAGGAAGGCATGCCGTTCTGCATCGTCTTGTCTCCACGAGTCAATGCGCTGCAGAATTTCAGAAATGGTGTCATCTCATAGGGATATCGCAAACGGGCTTCATTGAGCAACATTGGCCTAAGGATGTATTCGTCCTCAAGGAAATATGCCACAATCGGATCAGCGTGGCGGGCAAATTGGCCATTGTCCCATCGGCGAAATGTGTTGTCACCGGCCAGGATAGTGTATGTTGTCACAATGAGATCTGGACTGTAGGCGACAATCTCGCTGCCAACAGCAGCGCGAACTACGTGAAGGAACAGCAATCGAACTCTGTCCTGAGATATCCGGTCAATGGACGTGC